CATCGGGAACCGTATAATACAGTTTATCTATGTCATTGTCAATAGAAAAGCGTCAGAATACACCAATAAACCGAAGCAGCCATGGCCAAATATTCATCAATGAAATGGGCATCTACACACAACGTACCACATGATTTGATAACGAACATTTGCATTTCATTTCGCCATTTTACCTTTTTATCGTGCACAGCGATCAAATTCACTGGGGAACCAATTTTGCGATCTGCATAGCAGTGTATACCTATCATTTGATGAATATACATAGGTATATACATATTTGTAATAGCGTACAAAAGAATACATGAATACATTTCGCTCCATTGGAGAATTTTCGTTGCTCAAAACATGTTTCTGCTTCACATGTCAACTTTGATGCCGTGGTCCAAGTCCAAGGTGAAACCAACGCATGTTTATCAAGATTTCATATCGTTGACTGCAAAGAACTTTGAAATGATTGAAATATATTTATTTGTAAGCGCGTGTATTTGGCCAAAGTGTAAGAAATCGTAATTGATGACATTCAGCAGGCAGCATAAATCAGCCTCCTCAGAGAGTCCCAATTTTTATTTCAAATGGTGCCAGAAGCGGAAGCGATCTTTAATCAGATGCCGAAACAACAACAAAAACTGAATGCAACCCATGTTTTTATCTTCAGAAAAAAATTTATTTAATTTTTCACGAAATATTGCTTGAACTTTTCAAGCCTTCAATGTCATTTCATTGCGAATTTAGATTGGATTTTTCTCCTTCATCAATATTTAAAGAACATCAAAGTGTGTTTGGCATGAGCTCTTTAACTTTTGAATGCTACATTGTTGCTCCACTTGTTTGATGTCGTTTGTTATCTTTTTGATACAAACATGTCCTGCGTATGGATCCTATTTCCTATTTCCTGGATAAAAGCATGGTTTTAATTTATTTTCGAAATATTTAATGTGTTTTTACGTCATTCAAATTGAAAACCTGGTAAAATTGCAAACTAACATGCGATGCAATAATTGTAGAGCTGTATTTGATTGACAAAAAGTCGGTCATTTGTATCTCAACAGATTTGTTTTGGGATATTATTCAAAAACATCAGCCACATTGACTATCAACAGGTCAATTTCAATTGAAGTAGCATCCTATGGCTAAAATCACCTGCGACTTAGTCCAATCAATAGAAACGGCTTCGAGTGAATTTGTGCATGACAAGCTTGGCATCCGATAGCAACCGGATGCTATGATTCGGGCCGCAATATTTTATGATATAATAGTAGTGATGCGATTGTGTAAGATGATAATATATTATTCAGAACATAGAGTAATCTTATAACACAAATCATCACAACACGAGCTTTGTTCACATTTCATTTTCGGTTGACGTCATTTGTATGTGCGTGCATGCGTATGCATGTGGGTTGAATACATGATGTTGTACATTTCAATTAAATTTCCGGCCAATTTTGGAACAAAGTTTTAAAATCAATACAGATTTTCTAATATCATGGGAATGCACACATTTGAGCATTGAGCAAGAGAATGAACAACGTTGGTACAATCAATTCAACACAATAATATATTGATGAGATTATCCGATGCAGCAATGACAAGGGCCATCGTATTCAGCAATTTGTCGCAAAATTACGTTTTAATCTTATGACATTCAAAGCATTTACATAAAATGAATTCCATTGCCTATCGATCGTTTCTTTTTTTTTTTTTTAAGAAAATGCAGATTCCACTTGAGCATTTGACTGTTTTTGATTCAGAAGTGATTTTTGCTCAACTGAGCATGTGAAATTTCGCTACATTGAACTTCAAAGTATAAGAACAAATTTTAATCGACGTAACACGTCTTAATCAACCATTTTTTTCCGTAGCGAAATTAATTGTACGTGCATATTTTTGTGCTGTCGCTGTTGTTTGTTTCGGAATTTCTAACGAAACAAAAGTAAAGAAGAAGAAGAATCATCGTCGCATTCATTCAAAAAGGCCAATTTAATTATTTTTTTCTTCCAATAAAAACGCGGTGATGGAAGTTTGCGATTTTTCATTATTTTAATGGAACACCGCGACGAATTGTAGTGAACGAAAAAAAAGGCAATGCCGAAGAAAAAAAACTAATTCCACACAGGACGAAAGTCAAAGGTTGCACTGTTAATGCCATTCACAACCCCCATTCAATGAATTCGACGAAAATCTGACGCCATGGGCAGAAAGGAAGAGAAAAAGAAAAAGAATGGCAAAGAAAAAATCCGTTGAAACATGTTCAATATTCAAGGGCAAATTCAGCCAAACAATCATGATGGAAAAGGAGAGAAATGGAACAAATGTTGCCGCCTATGCTTTGTATGCTATTGTACTAGAGTAATGTGGTGGCCCTGTTGCCAACAGTAATTGGATATAAAGAAAAATCCAATGTTATTACATTATCAAACCATTGAAATGCTATGCTATATTCTATATGCTTAAATAATCTCTAGAATTGGAAAAATAGTTCATTGCCTTCACATTATTTCATTCGTTCCCCTTTCCCTCCCTCTATCTCTCTCGCTCTGTCCCACTCTTTCGCATATTCTGTTTTGCTCTCTATATGCCGGTGTTCTTGTTGATGAGAGGGAATAATAAGCCAAACTTCGTTTTGATTATGCTTTCTACAGGTTTCGCACATTGAAACGGTTATAGTAAAAAATTATGATGTATTTTCCGTCGTCAACTGATGAACAGTGAATTATCGTATAGTGAGGCAGGTTTTGAATGCCACGAAACACGTGTCGCCTTGACTAACAATAGACATCGAGCACAAATGCGGAGAAAGAGAGAGAGAAAGAGAGAGAGAGAGAGAGAGAGAGAGAGAGAGAGAGAGAGACGTTGTGATTCTGTATGAATTCATACATCAGTTGGACAATGTAACGGTTGTTTTAAACAAACTCTTACGATCCATATGGAATACACAATTCCTGTTTGACCTAGGAGCTTTTATCTCTATTCGCCAATACAAATTTATATGCGAAATAGTTAAAATATACGGCGTATACGCGGGTTATATATGAAATATGCACAAAATATACGGCAATTATACGTGGTTATACGTATTTATATGAAACATTCGTCTGGAGTCAGAAGCCCCTAGTGTTTCACCCAAACTTCTAGACTCCGAAAAATCTGTTGTAAATCTTAAAGTTGAATGTTGTGTAATTTTCATGATCAATTCCTTCTGTTGCCGCAATCTTTCTCTTTATCTCTCCCCCCCCCCTCTCCCTCTCTCTCTGTTTCATGCGAAAAGTCATCAAAAAGCGGCTCCATCGCCCAAGAATTAAAACATACAACGAATGACGTAATTTTTAGGAGATTTTTGAATTTTCTTAACTGAAGACTCACAAAAGATTCGTATATTTTGGCGTAGGTTTTCAACTTTAAATGTTCCGGCTTTAAAAATTGATTATTTTTCCAGAGAACACCACAAATTGACTGCCACAATATGGGCAATAAATACGTTTCAGCTCTAACGCGATTATGGATAAAAGAAATTTCAAATTGAATGAAGAAATATACTAATTTTCCAACATGCTTAAATCAGAGATGAACTTAATGTTGGTTCCAAATGTTCGCACATCCAATGGCTTGCACTTAATCCCCATCACCGCGGCATTGTTCACTGGAAGATGGTTAAGTGAAAATATAACTGTTATGTTTTGACCTTAAGTTGTGTATTTATTCCTTTTCAACCGAAGCTCAAAACACAGGGTCTAGGGTTAATGGTGCACCGATTTGTTTTTGTTGTTGTTGAACAAGAGATAAAGGGGGAAAAAAATAAGAGGAAGAGATGTGTATACGATGCTATGGAATGTTACATGACTTTGTGATAAGACAGCGAATATTGACAGAAGACGTTTTTGAAATGAAATTAATACTCAGAAGAAACCAAAATGTGGTTCGTTTCACGAGTAAATCAATTTATGTAAGCGTTAAATTTGTTAATGACTAAGCTTTTGCCAAATCAAAAAGACAAAAAAATGAAAGAAGGAAACGAAGAATAAAAAGAAATGAGCGAAAACTCACCGAAGAAGTTATGTTCAAAGACAATGTAATTATGTAAAATAATTATTGCTTTGAATCCTACTGAATCAATGTTCTAAGGAACTTTTACCCAATATTTCCGGAACGTTCATCGATTCCAACGAAACGGTGAACAATTTTTGCGTCTAGGCAGCTCAAATCAATTGCCATACACAGAATCACAAACACACAGCGAATGAATAACAAATGAGGGAATAGAAAATGTCGCCTCAAAGTATTAAGCTACGCATTTTGTGTGACTTTCCATAAGTTTATCATTTGCTCGGTTAGGTGATTTGATTGTTTCTTGATTCGTTTCTCTGTTGATGCTTCTATCGACAACTGAATTCATGAGTCAATGGTATTTGTGGGGTGTATCAATCGTAACACCGTTATTAATTTCTGAGCTCTGGCTACAATTGCTGCAAAAATTTACAGATCAATTAGTAGGTAGTCTAGACTACCCATTTATTTTGAGCATCGGTTGAAGATGTTAAAACTGCATAAAGCTCATTAAAATAAATGTAATTCTTTTGCAGAGTGGAAACTTTGGCCGACTCTTATTCACTCAGTGTGCTGGCTACTCATGCCCATTACACGTGCGTGAATTTTTAGCTTTTCTTACGAAAAAGAACGAGACGGTATGCAGCCAATGGCATGCATACACATTACGCACACAGGCATTCTCCGAAAAAGACACTAATCTTTCATTAATTGCAACAAAAACTTCTATCGAAATAACGAAATAAAACGAATAAATAAGCTTAATAATTTTGTAAGAAAGATTCAGTTTAATTGGTTGCGGCGGAGCGTCATTTCTCCTCGCAAAAATACTTTACACATTTTCGAAGAGTCAAGCCGCTTGACTCAAGCAAAGAAGAGCGAGCGAGCAAGAGAAGACAAATGAGAGAGAAATCGATTTTGATTAGAAAATGAGGTTTTTGTCCAAAAAAAATTACCTTAGTGGATTAATGATGGCTCGATGACGATCAACAGCAATCGCTGTCAGTGTGAACACCGACACATTCACGCTAACCGTTTGAACAAACGGGCAAAAAGCGCACATAAACTCGGGCAAATTCCATCGCTGAAGCAACGCCGCCTGAAACTGTACACAAGAAAAATAGGAAAAAATGAAAGAAACAGAGAAAGTGGAGGAATAGCGAGAGAGAGAAAACGAAACAAAATGAAAACGATTAGAAATAATGAAACAGCCACGGCATTCATTTCAAAGTTTTTATCCTTATAAATGGTGAAATTTTTGTCTGAAGTTCGGTCGGTTTCTCGGTTTTCATTCTTATGCGCACAATGTGCTAATCAACGAATCAAAAAAAGAAATCGAAATCAACCGAGAATTAATCGACGATAACTGGCGAACTCTTATCCGAATTATGTTCGTTCTTTGTGTGTTCCCGGGTAACAAACAATCATGAGAAATGGCACGTCTGGCCAATTCGCTCAATTTAAATTTTTGAAATTCGAGTAAGCAAATAGGCAAACCCATCAAATTAAACGCCGTGATTTAGATTTTGGGCACCGAGAACACCGAAACGGCAATGCGAGAGAATATGAATGAAACAATCAGGAGCGAATCATCGTGAACCGTACGATTCACATTGTTTGGGAAAAGATTCGACGAATAACGACAGGATATTTTGAAGGGAAAAAAAGTATGTATGGCTTGAATTGCAAACGTACCATCAAACCCAAAAGTACTGTATTTGTTAGCACCTTTTCTGATTTACGATAAAAGGCCTTCAAAGAATTTGCGGTTTTCTGACTATTTGCAGCAATCCATATATATAGTACTATTTATATCTATGGGTGAGATTGAGAGTGGAGTATGTTTTTTCTTCGATTTATATTTTTGAAAAGGCGAGTATGTTTTCTGATGATTCTGTTGGCGTTAAAGTAGAGTATGTTGTAGTACCGTCTAGCCTCCGCGGTCTTCATGGTTTTCGCGCAACTGATAAAAGATAACAACATAGTGTCTTCGGCAAAGTTGTAGTACTTGAGGTCTTCTATAACTAAGCTGAAGAAAGTTATCTCTTATCTCTTATCAGTTGCGCGCAAATCGCGCACATAAAAAAGCAAATTTTATATAGAACTTTTTTTTTCTTATCATTTTTCGCGCTTTTCGCGGAACTGATAAGAAATAAGAGATAACTGTCTTTAGCGATGTTATAGAAGATCTCGAGTGCTACAACTTTGCCGAAGACACCAAGTTGTTATCTCTTATCAGTTGCGCGGAAACCGTGAAAAACCGCGAGGACCCTTTAAAAACGAACATACTCGCTTTTAACCATTTTTAAGTCGACAGAAACTTGCTCTTCTCTTTCGTAACAAAGTCAATCAAACATACGCTACTCTCAATCTCACCCATAGATATATGGTCGTCAATTGATATTTGTTTCGATACGGGGTCAAATGTTTCTTCTTGACTTTGCAGAGCCTTTGTTTGGTGGGCTACGCAAAATGCGCAATCCCACCAAAATGAGTATAAGCTGTAGTCGATGCCTCTTAAGTCGCAATCATTCGAAACCTCCACCACAACACAACATAAGTACCATTCAAATTAAATTCAATTACATACGAAAACCAACAGTGTGTATCCCAAACATTGCTGGCTGATTACGGAACATCTCATTCCATTTCCCGTTCTGTGCGTATGTGTGTGTGTGTGTGTGTGTGTGTGTGTCTCGCTCAATTCAGATTTTCATTCAAATTGGTTGTTTAGCTGAGCGCATATATATATTTGCATTGAAAATGCTTTTTATTGAAAAGGAAATCCAATATATGAGTAAAACAATATTTTGCAACCAAACAAAAACCACAATGAAACCGATGAGATGGATAAACAATTGAGGAAATTGGAAAAGAAACGAATGAAAAACAAAGTGCAAGAGCAGTGAAATAAAAAGAGACTTACCTGAAATGGTATGACGAACATACCGATGACAACGTCAGCAAGTGCCAAATTGGCTATAAATAAATTTGTAACTGTTTGCATTGGTCGAGTGGTTGCTACGATCCAAATTACCAGTGAGTTGCCAATCACCGCAATTATACTTATGCTGCCATAAAATATAGATAATAAGACGATAATTCCGATAGGCACTTCGTACAAAATATCTGCGCGCCACTCAAAATGAAATCGCCCCATTGATTGATGTTTTGATGGTGAACCATTGAAAAGCAACGCAAGGACAATGCGCAAACACATTAAAGGAGAGAAAAACAAATGGAAACCGAAAGAGAAGAGGGAAAAAAAGAAGAAAAAAAAAGTCAACGGTTGAATAAAGAAAGTCATTTTGTTGATAGACAAAATTCCAGGGATTTATTTTAACATATTGCTGCATAGAGATTCAAGTTACCATTGTCCAAATCAATTTCTGACATATTCAAAACACGACTGCTATTCTGTACAATGTTGCCAAACCCGCTCGTTGTATTCGCGTCCATCTTGCGTCGCGATTTGTCTGGACGATCACGTTGAATGCGTTCGTTCTCTTGCGTCTATCGTCTGAAAAGAAAAAAAAGAGTAGAAGATGAAAAGAAACCAACGAACAAAAATGAGAGTGAAGAAAATCCATTTGATTACGTTAAAAAATTTCATATTTTTTGCTCATTCATATCGTTATTGTGATCTTAAACCACAAATCGTGCTTTTTTCACGATATTTCGATTTATTTCATGTTATTAGGTTTTTTTTGGAAGTGCTTGTGAGAAGACAACATTGAAAAGAACAATTTGAATCAGTAATTTTACGATTTCCAGGTAGCGATTATTCATGAGCCAAGTGATTCTCATGAAAGGCATCTGGACCTTGAATTGCTGCCTATTTCTGCCTAGACCACATGCTGAACATTTTATTGTGAAGTCACACAGCCGTAAATACTGCCGTTTTTTTCAACGTCTTTTTTTTCCATTCTTCTTTCGGTTTTTTTTTTTGGTAGGCGACCATACGCAACCAGCACCTTTGTGTCTTTTCGTACAAACTGAAAAAGAACAGAGAGATTGCGATTTTTGGCTGAGATGAAAAATGTGCGTTGCCATCGTTGGCCACTGTCTTTAGCCATGATTTACGTGCCGATTTTTGCTCGAGACTATGCATTTTCTGGATATTCATAATAGCCACGACATTTTTTTTTTCTTCTTCTATGCATTAAAAAAAGAGCACTTACCCAGTCTGAATGAAAATGAATGAACGAACGAAACAATTTTTTGGTTTTCATCAATCATAACGCAGCCGTGACGCTAGATTTTTTGTCACTTCAGTGCTTTGTAAACGCCAAAAAAAGTGTATAAATATGGAAAATAGAATGAAAATAAAATATGAATCATATGGCTTCACCGTATGGACATAAGGCACATGCCGAATTTTCATTATTATGCTATGGCATTAGCACACCGTTCATAAGTCACTCATACTATTTCCCATGAAAAATACCTTCGATCAATGTTTGTTTGAAGGCGCGCGTTTATGTATGTGTGTGTGTATATGCCGTTGTTTTTCTTTTTGTTTTGTTGATTTCATGTGGATTGCCATTTAAGAATTTTTACTCATCCTTGCACTGCTTATTTTGTGTTTCACAAGAAATAGTAGCGTTAGAATTTTCAAATAAATTTTCGTTTTTTGCATCATTTCAGCCGAATGAATGAACACACCTGAATTCATTCAAGTGGCATGAGATAGATCAGCAATGACGTATAAATGAGTTTAGCCTGTTATTGAACAATGGTTCGTTTTTTTATGGGCATTCCTCGTGGAATATAGAGCCGGCATAGTTCGATAGAAGATTTTATGCGTTAAAATTGGCAATTTTACCTTTTGAGATATTTTATAGTCAAAGGCAAAGCCGGATTGGCCGGTTTGATGTGATAACTTCCGAAATTTTCTTCTATTATTCAAATTAGTTGCAAAAGCGATTGATTCTACATGTTAGCATATTGAAGAATTTCTACGTATCGATACGTGTTACGCAAAGTGATTTAAAACGTGTATCTTTTGTGTACTTCATTCATAAAATGAACAAAAGCATCAGCGGTGTGGCAAAAAGGATTGAATAATATGCACTGAGAAACTCCGAAATATATGCTAAGACAGCCAGCAAATCTCAATTGAAAATGACAAAAACTGATGAAGTCACATTATCCCAAACATGTGTGACAAATATAATTTGTTATTGTCTCAATCTGGGCGCGTGTCAGAAATTTACGTACATTTTACATTGACATCTTTTTTATTTGACATGGCAAACAAGCACGGCACAGAAATGAGTGAAAATAACAGCATGTAATTCAATTGATAATATCGCATAAACATTTTTTGTATGATACGTCAAAGCAGAAAAAAAGGGTTGTGAAACACTGGAGGAAAAAAAATGGAAATATATGTTATTATATAGAATATCTCGAAGGAGTTTTCCGCACTTTAAATTCAGCTCACACACTCACACACTCACACACACTGTTTTTCGATAAAAATATACGTCGTAGTATCATTTTATGTCATAGACTATAAACATAGATATTCTGTATTTCCAATGACATTGCGATGCTTGACAATCAAATTAAAGCCAATCGTCTATCCGATTTCAGTTTGATGTGTGTGGGCAATGTGATATCTTGAGCTAATTTACAAGGAAATCATATTTCAACAATTCAAGTGGACAATTCGTGGAGGTGTCAGGTGAAGCCAATGAGTGAAATGTATTGTTGTAATTTATAGGACAGTGTCATTGGTTGCGCAAAAATACCCTTAAATACCATCGATATATCAATGTAATAAAATAAACTTTAACAATCATAGATCGATATCAACGAAAAAAATTGGACAAACAAATCTGAATTTTCCTCTTTACGTATAATCGCATGAAAATTTTATACGCGAAACGTGGTTCATAATTTATGATCTTCCGAAGAAATACGACGGGAGCGAATAAAAAAGTATGTATGTGACCAAAATGCAATCAAAACTTGCCAATAATTTCATATCTTGTGGCAATGCGATTTTCGATTGTAGACATTGTGCCCACTCCAATGCGAATGATTAATCTTCCGATTCATTGATCCTTATGTGGTTGTTTGAACCAGAACAACGCTTTCGAAACGCATAACGCATCGCTTGAGAAAAAAAAGTTAAGCGTTCGGAATGCCAAGAAAAGGAACTGGAGTGAGAGTGTGTGTGTGTGTGTGTGTGTGTTTGTTAGAAAAAACGCGTCTATATAAACTGAAACAATAAATTATCCGTAATTTTTTTTCCTACCTAACCAATGTGTGTATGCCATAGTGCATGCCGGCTCCAAATCAAAACGTTTGCCGACATCGAAACGTAAACTTTTGTTCATTATTTTGGAACGTAAGCAATATTTCATGGCGGTTTTTACGCTGAAGACATTGCGATTGTAAATAAAAAATGGCTATAAAAAACACTACGTTCTTCGACTTTTTCGTTTTTCTTACTTCTTTTTTTTTAATTTTCAACGCTTCGACCGACTGACTTTGCTTTTTTTTCGACATCAAATCTGGCATTCTGCTCAGATCATCGCCTAATACCATAAACGAATGATTGACGATAAACACGAGTTCAATGCATGTGCCACATCCACACTGCTCAGTTGGAAATAGAATTTAAATTGGTGGACCACATACGGTGCTCGCAAAAAACAGATAAACTCTCTCTATATTGCACAAGTACGCATACACACACGCTGATACATTGATAGTTTGTAGCTGATACCAAGTAGATGTAAAAAGTGAAACCATATTATCGGAACTCTTCCAAATTCATTTCCGGTTGGCAATTATGCCCAATATACTGAATGTATTCCTTTTTTTCTGGGGATGTTTCACAGATCAAATGAACCAATGACTTGTGCGACTAAATGCGGATGTATTATCTTGTGGTTACACCACTACGATCGTCAACTTGTTGTCATTCTTACTATTGCACACATAGCCGTGCCAAAAATGAGCGCTAATGGAAAGAGTTTCATCGCGTTGGAGAAGTACGTGAGCGTTTTGCTTTTAGGGAATTCTCCCTGTGCGAATGAAATATACATTTCTTGTTTGGCCAACGAATAACATCAACCTTGACGTATATAAATAAACAAAATCATCTTAAGTAGCATCACAGCGTTGGATTGCTATTGACATTGATGAGTACATTTTTTTTTAAATAGGCATCTCCTTCGCCGCTCCTCTCTTTACATCTCTATACAATGATTTGGTATGCAATCTTGTTGTTTAGTATGTTATGTTTCGATTTTTATTATGATTTTATGTTGTAAGCAAAGCTCATTGTATAAGGATTGAATTTCGAGATTGGTATGGTTTGTCAATCAACACGTGCGTCTTACAGACTTACAACAGACGTTCAAAATCAGAGGAAAAAAAAAATACCAGAACAAACAACACACGTTTTATTCGTTCTGTGTGTGTCTTTTTTTCCCTGTGCGTATGGCATGTGTATAAATATGTTAAATTCCGATGGTTGGGTTAGATTTGATGGAAACGGTGATGCATAAGAGTTATGAAGTACGAAGAAAGTATACAAGAGAAACATACTTAGGGAAATTTAGATTGATTTTCTTGGAAAATAGCTCGTTCGTTCGTCTGTTTTCATTCATCAACTACTTGCATGCTATTTTTATACGGCGAGAGAGCATGTTGATTTTTACTTTAGCCTGACTGGTCCGTTCGCCCACCGTAACTTACCGAACGCAAAGAACCCATGTTTATTTGACAGACTTTGCATGCATGTGACACCAATGTCCAATGTGGATTGATGTGTACACGCTCTGCACTAATTATGTTTGAGGACCGTCATAGTTGTTGTCGTTGTTTTTTCGGTTACTTTTCGGTGCAGCATACCCAACAGCACATTATTATGAATTGATTACTGCAATTATTTTACCATTTACGACAAAATCGAACAATGATCCCAAACCCCGCGGTCTTGGACACAATATACAGACATTTTACCGAAACGCACTTCAAGGTGGCCAAAAAATAAGGCATTGATAGCAAGATCGAATTATTATTTCATTTTTTATGCATTTTCTATTGGGGGAATATTTGATGCGGAGAATTTTTCCGCGGAATACTTATTTCATTGATGTGAAAAGAGAGAGAGAGAGAGAGAGAGAGAGAGAGAGAGAGAGAGAGAGAGA